TCCGATCCGAGGTCCGGTCCAACCAATCCGACCAACCCGCGCAACCCGGACATCAACGCAGCAGCAGGTTCCTGTTGTCCATGATGTTCATCTTCTCGATCCTCGGGAACATCTACCCACCGCAGCAGCCGGGAATCCCAAGTCTGGACGGAAGTCTGGAGCACCGATCCCTGTTGTCGTGCGAAGGTATTCATCCCCCCCAAAACTGACGAAAATTCTAAGAGGACTTCTGTGCCCAGACACTCCATGGGCCTGCCATATATGCCGCCCCATTGACTCCCAAAACCACCCCAACTGATCGGTAAATATACCATACATGGAGTGAGGACTTCTGTGTGACTTCGGTCTCTAAATCCGCTCGACTCCACTCGGCAAGAGCAGACTTACGATCCACGAATCCAATCAATGGTAGTGTAATTGTAGACTCATGTGTAGACTCTTTGGTTTTTCTTGAAAAGCATCTAAGAGTCTACAATTACCATGTATACCTCCACTCCAAGCCAGTTTCGTCCACTCCAAGTCCCCCGCACATGACCGGTCACGCGGTCCGCTTAGCGCACGCTCCGATGGGCCAAAGCTTTCTCAGGTGAAGGGATGGAGATCGAGGGCGGTTCGCGTCTCGTACGTTGGTCTCGTTTGGGCGAAAGCGAACCATGGCCACCAGGAGAAGAGATTTGATCATTGGCTTGGTCTCGTCCGGGGACTCAGCTAGCTAGTACTAGCTAGGCTTTGCATACCCCGACCCGGAAGATCCTGCAGGGAGACGCTGATTTGCGCATAAATAGATGGCCGTTGACACGTTTGGTTACTCCCACTGAGTGAGCCTGATGATGGCCGATGTGTATGAAGAGCCAGTTGGATGGAAGATTGAGATTGCATTTGTTGCACTGTTTGCATTGATTTGCCTTCATTGCAAACACAGGGGCCCACGTTGTGTGATTTGACCGGGATAGTGGAGACCTGTTGCAATCTGTCGCCTATCTTTAGACCTATATTCATATTCATTCAACAATGCATACTGCGCCATTCCTGTTTGACGTTTATTCGTCGAGATGCTGTCGGTGGGCAAAGCTGCAAGTTTGACCTAAGGTTCGTCAGCTGCTTTTTTATATACTTGTGCATCAAGGTGGCGCCAAGGGCAATGACGGTCACCGTGGTGCATGTTGAACTGGAGTGAACCAGGAACCAGAGGGTACCTCCGGTTTGATTCAAGCCATATCAAAAGGTGGGGCCATTCTTGGTTCATGCCGCAGAAACTGCCCATTCAGTCACACCAAGTAAGGACAGTTTTTGTTTGGCCTTTCCTGGGTGGATCGAGATCCGCACCCAGTGAGGATGCCGGCCCCACGGGGCCCACGGCCCACGAATCCGCTGCATGTTGTTCCATCCGGTCACGTTGCATTGTGTATTCAGCCCGATCTGAAAAAGCCCAGCCTCCGGATGGGTCGTAGAAGAAGCATCCGCATGGCGCTGACCATTGGCTGCATCCCGCCCATTTGGCCCGTTCATCCTCTGTCCATTCAAGTACCGTTGATCTGGAGCTTTCATGAAGACATTTAGTCTTAGAATGTCTTTTGGGATCTCTTCTCATGCCCAAAGACTTCACTATTTGGTTGACCTGACCTTCTGGAGAATCCACAGTCCACATTATATCAACGAGATCCATGAGCCATTCGACTTCGGATATATTGAGCTTTCCACGTGTCAAGAGAAGCTTGACAAGTTAGGCATAGTTCTTTTTTGAATGCTGCTGACTGCTTACACACGTGTTGAACTGCTGACTGCCACTTGTCAGGAGGCCTCTATGCCCCCCAAAACAACATTCTGCCGCTCACGTGAGGCGCACGAGCCGCCAAAGAAGCGGCCGAAGCGGCGGGCAGAAAAGGCTGGCCAGGCAATTCTTGATGGGGGAGACGTTGAAGGCGAGATCTACTAATCCCAAAGGCTCAGAAAGGACCCTCAGTTCGCTCGGGTTTGGACCCTCAGTTCGCCAGGGTGAAATGGACCGAACCAACATGTAGCAGTTGGTTTGGGTCCATGAGCCTCTGGGATATGACATTCTACTACCCTTTGGAAAAGTCTCACTTTGGAACCATGCTTTGCAGTGCAACACGTTTTTCGCTCCAGATCAAGGTTTGAAGTCACAAATCTTACACGTCAATAATTACTGTAGGTGTTTCAAGATGTTTAACGTGGGGATGCGGCAATGGCGTGTACATTCCTGAGGGAGGCGGCGAATTCTTCACTGCGTTACCAGGCTTTGTCCTCGTCAGGTCACAAGATCGGAGACCCCGAGCATTCGGGAAGCCAACAGTAGACTGTTTGGAAGGGGTGGTTTGTCCATTTGGTTTTTTGACTCCTGAATCAAGGACTGATTCTTTAACACCCCAACCCCTAGTCCCAAGCCTTTCAGACGTTTCCATCGAAGTGGTGATGTTCACCATGCCACCGGTGTTCTTGGGTTCTTGATGCATCTTGATGCAACTTGATTGGACAGCATCACTTGCAGGATGTCGCGAAATGTACCCGACAGGCGTAAAGCAGTTCTTGAGGGAAAAAATGCCCTGCAAGACTCCCAGAAAAATCAAGAGCGAAATAGGAGTGAGAGGACCATTGAGCAGATTGAAGTATGCATTCTTGCTGTGAAAGTGAACCAACCTGATCCTTTTTCAAGCAGTCCGTTTTGGCGCTCCCTCATTTAAACAAACCTCCGGCGGTATGGTTTAAGTGTAGCTTGGGGGGGTGTACAAGAGAACACTTTGGCCGTCAGGCAAGAAAAGAAGAGCCCAAGCAGGATGAGAAGAAGGACGCCAAAGAGGAAAAATGTGCCCTGACTGAAATGGATGTGGGGCCAGACTTCCATAGCAATCGGGCAAGACAAATTGGCCTAACCTAGCACGGCTGAGCACAATTTTGGTCCAAGCTTTAGACCCAAATCATGACCATGTTGTTCGGAAGGATTTGCAGACGTCATCCCATGATTCACAGGATTTGGATGCCGTTTGGACCCCGTACCATGCATGAAAGAAAGAAATCACACAAGAAGGTGCAAGATTATTGAGGATGATGGCAAACAGATTGAGATTTGAGACTTCATAGCTTTGTTCGACTGAGCTTGCGGCATTCCGGCATGCCGGTGTTCCCCACGTGCCTTCATGTTAGATATAGGTCCTTTTATGATCGGAACACGAGAAAACACCGTGGTGGCTACTTGGAGTCCGATGCCCTCCACCCGCTGAACCGCTGAGGAGATCAGCTTGCGTGGAGGGTCGGAGCTGGCGGGGACCTGGTCTCGGCGCCCGGAGAAGGGCGGACCTTCCTTGTGGGCATGACATGTTGCGTATGAGCCAAGGAATAGGGGGGGCCCGTCGTTGCCTGTTTTCCCTGGATGTTTGGACATGGAGGGTCTGGGATTGGAATTCTTTGTCTTCGCCCCCACGATGGCCGTCCAAGGAAGCCCCCACGATTGGTTGACTGAGAAAGTTTTGTTAAGTGTTTTATATATGTTGGTGTCTTGTTCGGTGGGTGTTTTTTTTGTTATGTAATAGTTTGATTCTATATTATATAAGCGTGGTTGGCATGCTATTTCATTGCCCAGTGGCACTGAGCGCCCCTTGAGTCCATGTTCATGAATGTAAACCTCACCGAAAGGGGCATAATATATCATAATATGCCAACCATTGTCCAACTCATTTTGTGGTTTGCGTGTCATATTGGGTTGGTTTGGCTTCACAGACCTCACCACTTTCACCGGGCCCGGAGTCAGTGGAACCGCAGCAACGGACGGTGTGGAGCGGCAAGCGGCTTGGTCGCGGTCGGTGCTGCGGCGCGGCAGGAAGACGCTGGATGGCCCGGCTTGGATGCACTTGAACCCTTTGTACATCTTTGTAGCAAACACATCATGAAAAGTCTGACTTCTGCACAACAAATGGCCTGCAATTGCTTGGCATCACCCAGCCATCCATGTTTCAGGATCTGGATGCAGCCAACATGGCCGCATTCACGAAAGCATCAGAATCAGTGGTTGAAAATAGTTGGATCGTTCCTCTTTTGGGGCCGGGAAGGTGATCCTGCTTAACCCCACCGTACCAAATATTCGTAGCTTGTTACTTGAGTGCCTGCCACTAAACCTGTGCAAAGCCTGTGTTCAGGTGCACTCAAACGACTGTGGTCTGGTGCCGAGACAAAAACGGCCCAGGAAGAACAGACATGACACCGGTCCCCGGGGCGGGTGGCCAGGCGGTGGCCAAGCAACCGATGGGTCGTAAGGACCCTGATCTCCTGTAGATATCACCTTTAAAGGAAGCGAAGAGCCGTGAGAGGGATATACGTACTTATGATGACTGACATTGCGTTCGGTCCTTTTTTGTGCTAGGCTTTGGACCCAAACCCTCCAGTGGGACACCCTGTGGATCCGAACATCTCCCACCTCAAGAGGTTTGTGGATCCCTAGAGGAAAACGTCGCGAGTCATCCAGACCGTGTCGCACATCCGTGGTTTCTCTTCGTTGATGACCTGCTAAGCCCAAGCAGCGAGCGGGTTCCGGTTTTTCTGCCCACGTCCGTGGCCGCATTTGGGCTTGGATTGTGCAGGGGTTGGATTAAGTGAAGAAGTTGGCACGGTTAGTATGGACATGGGGGCCCCCTTTCCAGATGTTTCAAAGCAAAAACCGTGCAACAAAGAATCCCAACCAATCACCACACCTAGTCTGATCTCATCTACGAAAACACGTCGGCTACGCAATTTGTCATGCAGAAGGAGGAGCTCAAAGCGCCAAAACTGAACGAGGTCTGTAGATCAAGACCAGCCACACACCATGGAGCCCGGCAGACATCAGGTTTGGTATAATCAGGCAGTTCCACAAGCCACATGTGTCCAAGAAAGACTTGGCAACTCGAGCTTTCCCAAGTGGGGGCAGAGCTCACCCCTGTGCATTGTTTCCTGGAGCATTTTCTGCTTTCCACTTGCGCCAGCGAACGACTTTAGGTCCCTATTCCTATAGAGACTCCAACTAACATGATTCCGAACCGACCACCAACTCCACGGGCCAGAGATTTCCAGCGCCGCCGTCGCCTCATCATGCAGGCAACGACTGACCGACTCGCCGACGTCGAAAACCGGTTCGAGAGATGGAATTGGTAAAGCAATGGAGTGCAAGAAGCAGATGCCAAAGCGGGGTGGTAGCTGCAAACCTTTCCGCTGGGAGCGCTAAGCTGGTAGCTCAAGTAGATGATCTAATTGCTGCTGCGGTGGTTGGGTTTGCGTATTGACGGCACCCCACCAATGACCAAACGCCTGGTGGTAAACGTATGGATCTCTCCAGGGAATTGGCTCAACCGCACCAAACAGGCCCCGTGGCCGCGTGGTTGCGGGTGTTTTTCGCGTTCGTTCTTCGAGCTGTGACCCGCGTTCCGACCCACTAGGACCTCGGGACCTCGGGAAGTAGACATAAGTAAACCAAAAGCCATTGGGTCACGGGCCCCCGGAACTGCTTACATTGCTGGACTCCTGGGGATGTGTTCACCGCGCGTTTGAGCCAGCTTGAGTTTCATGAGCCGACCCCAAGAAAACGTAGCAACAACTGTCTCTGGGTGGTGAGAAATCAGACATGTGTTTTATTCAACCTTTCTTGGAGGTGATTTACTGTAGTATCATATAGTATTTTTCAAGTGAGTTCAAAGCACCAAGAAGAAGTGTTTCTGGAGGAGTTTGTAGTCTTGCAACATCCTCTTCCACGAGGGTGCCTAAAAAATGGAAGGAGGCTGCCAGAATACACCTCTGCAGCTCAGCCAAGCGGCCAATAAACAGAGCCAGGACAATCACAAAGCATCATATTTAGCCCAATGGACAACGGCCTGTGTATCAGTTTATGTTCCAAGGTTTTGGTTCTTCCAAATCTATTTCGGTCCAAAAGCGATGCCCTCCTTCACTCTCCTTTGAATCACAGACCGTTTTTGCTTTGGTCGCCGCCAACACAGGGCCGCAGCGGCTTTTGGCTGCGGGAGCAGCGCGCCGCAGCGGCACGCAACGCGCCTCAGAGGCCGATGGTTTGTTTGGCGTTTGGGCAGGTCATCGCTTAGAGAACCTCATGAGGTTGAACCAACCAACCAACCAACCAGCCAGCCAGCCAGCCAACCAACTTCATCTACATCAGTTTTGCTGAGAGGAAGAACCTGAACCTCCTTTGACTCATTTATGGTATCCCCTTGTACCTCGTGAGCAGAATGACCCAGGGTGTTCTGCACCCATACAGCATGTTCGGGGATTTGTGGAGGCATCAGCCAGTCAGTTTGCTCCATGTTAAACGTTAGAGAGAGTAGTTGATGGTTGTAACGGTGTAACCATCTTTTGTGAAGCAATTCACAAGGCTTGCTGTTGGAAAAAAAAGTGCCAACACAAGCCATTCGTATTCACATTCTCCCATGTTTTCCGGCCACCCCGACGGAACATCCACCCAACGCTGAGCCTCGTGAGTGACAGTGTGATGCTGAACGCTGCAGACTCGTGTAGTAAACACCATTTGGGATCCATTGGCAATCCAGATATCCGGATGGCACAGCGATTTCCTGTGCCATTTCTTCGGAAAAATCTGCAAATGCCGATACATCAAGAAGGTTGGTTTTTGATGAATGTTCACATTGCAATAATTTACCTCCCCCCCGCTAGTGAAACATATGCGGCAAACAAGTTGTTCGTCACAATAATAGACACCTCAGACCTTATGACCGCTGTTGTTGGACGCTAAATTCAAAACTAATCAATTCAATCTGGAAAGAGCTTTGCTATTACACAGGAGAAATGTTGTTTTACAATTGCACTTCAACTGGACACTCATTATTGTACAGGAGAAAGTCCAGTTTACTAGTGCCACCTAAGAGACAGTTGGAAGTGAAAGGATGTGTTCTATTGACAGTATAGTTATAATTGTATGTCACCTAGAAAAGCAGGTTTATTATTGTAGAGGAGCAAGCTGAGCTTATTATTGCAAACGATTGGCAGGCATTTATATATAATTGTATGTTTTGGGTCTTCGTAAGGGATACTCTTTGCCAAGATGCTACAAAGCACTTGATTGTATTGAGCTGGTTTCACTGGTTGAGACAAGGTAAACATATACGCGTAATTAATTGGTTAGATTTTAACTTTGTTGATTAATCAACTAGTTTGTAAGAGGCTTAAAGTAGGTCTATTATTGTAGAGGAGTAAGTCAAATCTATAATTGTATTGACAGTATTTAGTCTATAATTGACCGTATTCAGTGTTTTCAACAAGGGCTTATAACTAACGCGTGCTCTCTTTTTTCAACCTACTGAAAAAGTCATTTATTTGGCAGTAGTGCGTTATTGCATGGTTTTGGTAGCCAGCAGATGTTCTCATTCTGGAGGTTCCGTGATTCAAATTTATAGATCCAGGACGTTGAATTCGCCGGCCAACGTGCTGCTGTCTATGATTGCAATAAAGTAAATATTAAAAAATCATATATTCTTTTTGGACCATGACATTCCACTAGATCCCTAGTTAGGGGATTCCTGTAGATACAAACTTCCCGGGAGAGTTGGTTTTTTGGTCCAAGAAGGGTGCCAGCTGCGTGTGTGCCAAGAAATCCCGTCCCATGTCCGATGAATTTTGGATTTCAAGACATCCAAGGCATCCGTTCCTGTGTTTCTCAGTGACTACAAGTGAAATAGGGTGTTTCAATTCGATAGAAAGGGCACCCCGTGAAAACGAGATTCGATGATAAGATGCTTCATCATTCTTCTCGGTGCTTCAATCCGTTCATGAAATCATTATATCATCAGCAATTCTACAATACAAGGACAGAATGGGCCTCGACGATGTTTTTTGCAGCTTTGATGGCATTTGCTGGCTTTAACACGCATCCCCAAATTGATTCAGAAGGAACCTCCATCGAATTGAAGCATACAGGTGGCAAACTCTGGAGCTTTCCCCCAGGCATCAAATGGATGGTTCAATTCTATCGAACGTAACGCATGGCTTGTAGATGGGATGTTGGCAATGTCCGGGAAATGTGTGATATTCTTAAAATTGGACATGCCAACTTGGTGTAAGTTCCGCATAATTTTGTTTAATATCACCAGGCATCGTCGTTCTTAACACTGTACATACTGTATATATGAATATATATATATGAAATTCAAACAGTGTAGGGGGCAAGTTCCTGGATTCATGCTGTTCAGGTTTAAATAGAGACCTCTTTTGGGAAAAAACACGTTAAGTCATTAGGTAGGATTTCTGATTCTGAAGGGAATTTGGACTCCTCATGAATTGACTTCATTGGTGTTTTGCTCCAATTCTACAGGGGCTGCACCGTTATTTCCATTGCATTGTCATTGTATTGATATCGGTAGTGTAGTCCTGATTTGTATGGGTAAATTTGATTGATTGCCATGACCGACTGAATTCCAAAACGGATGTAGAGTGTGATCATGTGACCAGGGCCCGCAACACTGGCATGTTGCAGGAAGGTTGCAGAATATCGCCATGCTCTCAGATGCGACATTGGCGGCCGGTATTGGAGATTTCTTTGATACGGGCAGGCGTTTGGACAGTTTCGGTTGACTCACAGTTGCAGGAGAAGTCTCGTCTAGTTTCATCGCAAGTTGGTGACATGACGAGGCTTGTTGACCGGGCAGCGTGCCACCGGTGAGGTGCTAGAGTTGTTCCTCAATGCAGGCCCAAAGTGGTCAACATCCTGAGCACAAGCCTATGACCTGAAACAATTTTAGATATATTCACCCATTAGATCAGAGCCATCCCCATTTTCCCTTTAACCCTAACTCTCGGTTGAACTTGCTCCCAACCTCACCCCCCACCTGCCGGATTTCTGCCCCATTCCGCTGCTTGGACCACCAAACGGTCGCCCTGCCCCTTAGGCGTCATCAGCGAGATTTGGCCCGATGTGCCGCCCCCGAGCCTCGAGCGCCAGCGCCGAGACGACGCCGCGCCCGAGCCGAAGGCCCGCACGAGCCGTGGAAGCACGGATGCAATAGATGCGTTTTGTACGTAGCTGTAACTCAACATTATTTGATCAAAATTGCATACAGCCTCCAGCTTTATTTTCATGGAATCATGAGCGAATTTGACGATTGGCGGCTAAGGCAACATGAGTTTGGTCGTTCCGGCAACACCCGTCTCTGTTCTGCTATCATATTGTTTGGACCATCCAGACCAAACGAATCAGATTGATTCAGCAACGGTTTGTCAGTTTAGCATCACAAGTCGTCATGGACAACTCTGGATGTAACATCATTAGAGGGTATGCAGAATCACGAACGTTTGTCAGAGGGTATGCCGCTAGATGATAGATGAACATATCGAAGCTATTCAAGTGCATTATTTCTATGTATGTATATATATATAATGTAGACTGTTGTTTTAAACCTGCTATGTGAAGGTTGTTATAAAGAAGAACACATTCTGGTAGGGGAGGGTCTATAAATCAACTGTCTACATTAGTAGAATTGCAAATTACTGCTGCACCCACGGAATGACCACTTTCCCAATTCCTCAACCGGCAGGTCGTGGCCAACGGTGCCAACGGCACGAACGGCGAAGCTGGCATGAATGAAGCGTGGCAGAAGCCCGGAAGGCCCCAAGGAACGAATCGTAAAATCCCAGACCATCCATGTGTGTATATATATATTTATACATCAACCCAGGAAGTCCAAGACTATTTTAAAAGATGGTTCCCGTAAAGGATTTCCTTTACTTGGGTGGTGGCAAAAAAAAGGGTGAGGCGCTCGCTTGTGGTGCTATATAATTTTCTTGTGGAAGTGGAGGCAGGCTGGGGTCAGAAACCACGGCAGCTCTGCCTTTGTGGAGGCCAGTCAGGTATTGAATTTGAAGAGAGGAGTGAAGACAGTGCGGGCCGAGTGAGATGCTGCCAATCGTGTGCAACCAGCTGAGTGGTCAGACCTGAGCAGAATGGTTCAGCGACGGAATGAGGGTTTGGATTGACATAGATGTGGATCATGTGCAGGTCTGGAATCAAGTGGCTTTGAACAATAGCATATCCCATCCCACTGCTGATGGTGATGATGATCGCGCGCAGGCCTGCAAATGATGCAAATGGTTTTGACTCTGCCGCAAGAGAGGCATGAATAAGGTCGTTGGCTGCTTGTCCATTCGTCTTTGCGCGCACTTTGACTATGTGACCGGCGACTGAAAATCGTTGCGATGACCAGTCCATCACGCCCGATGTGGCCTTGTGTTCCATTACCGACGTCACTTTTTGTCCGAGATCAACGCTGTACGCATCCCTTTCACACATCAACACCAGCACTGTTCGAGGCCCGATGGGTTGAACTTCAAGCACAACACCATGCCAAGCATGGATCTGGAGAATATGACTCCATGTTTGGAGCCGCACTTAGCTGGATCAAATGGCCGAGTCATGCCCACACAGTTGCACATAGGTACGCATCGAAAGACCCAAGCACTCTAACGCCGGTTGGTCTCTATCAAGGACTTATGTTCGATCCCAATATGAACGAATACCGCTTCCTGGGTCAGAAGCCTGGCACCGTGCCTGCGCCTGAGGCGCCGTATATGTTGTAACATCCTGTGAGCGATTTAAGCACTTGCCGCGTGATAGCCTTTTGACAGGTCCAAGAGATGAATCATGGCACTATCCGCTCCAGGTTACGATCCAACATACCCAGGCCACTGCTTCCAGCCGTACCGACTTTTAAGCGCATGCCTTTCGCTTGCTTGTGCAAACCGATTCCTTCCAAGACCCTTCAATATATTTAGCTATATGGATTTGATGTTCGTATGATTTGTACATATTTGGCTGAGCTTTTCCTGTTACAGCTAACAATGACATTTCAATACTCTGCAGATAAGAGTATTGACAAGTACATGTATAACCGACGTTAGTCGTTTGGATCTCGACCAAGACAATTTCATGCACAGGGGTGAGGAAAAATGGTGTATGTTTTGTGTTTGCTTTTGCTTACTGCTGGCCTCTTATGTACACAGTACACATGGCTCAGGTATTTGGCTCAAGCCTGGTAGAGCAACCGCTTGCTATTGCGCGCCATAGCGCTTGACAGAGCTTCCGCTTGAACTTGTCCAATGGACCGCTCTCGGGACAGTGGCTTTCCAAGGGAGCCCCACTGCAAGTGCACTTCGTGTGCCACCACAACAACGCACAACACACAACAATATGATTACCTGTGTGGGCGCTTGTGCTGTTCCCTGGCATGACGTGATGTCATCCCTGGCATGACGCCATGTCACCGCAAAGGGAAACGACGCATACCGCAAGGCAATACACGCATCATGTTAGGTATCGTAGGGGTGGATATGGTTCTGTTTTGACAGGTGTCATCCCTAGCATGACATGATGTCATCACTGGCAAGGTGAACAATGCTCCTGGCACCTCTCATTGACAACGAAAGCTATTGATTCTTCTCTCAGGCTTTTTTTCCCTCTACACCCGCCTGCCTTCAAGACGATACTGATGAAAGTGCGAACACGGGAAATCAGGTGTTGTGAGGGCATCATGGTTGCATGTTTTGCAGCAAGATTTCGCGTTCAAACCAGACCATCAAGGTTGTTGGGTCAAAAGAAAGCCATACTTGCAGCCCTCTTGCAGAGTAAGATTGAGTAATGCCCTGTGCCAGCCATCCGACCTGGCAGTTGAGGTCCGGCGGGGAACACTGCCATCAGACACTCGCAGTTGAGGAGGCGGAGGAGAGGAGGAGAAGCGCGGCAGGTGACACCTGACAGGTGGGGAATGAGCGTGGAAAAATGTGTAAAGGCATGTTTGTGTGTGTGAGCGATCAATGCCCCCAAACTAGCTCAAAACCAGTCTGACTTGAACAAACCGACTGTGTGACTTGAGCACAAGTTACTTTCATCGCATCTGGATGTCAATTTCCAGGGGTCAGCTGTCAGCGTTTGGCTTTGACTTGAGGGATTGCCATTGCCTACATGACGATCAAAGTCTAGATGACAAAGCTAGACTTTGGAGTGAAATCTCTGGCTACCACAGCCATACTTGGAGCTAACACTGAGGAAAAGAGCTAACTTTTTGGCTGCGCTGGAGGTCCTTTTTTCTACTTCTCTTTACTTCGGCTGGTGGAATCCCTGTTTTGGCAGCTGTTAGCCGCAAGTATAGAATACTTTGCACGCTCTGAGACTTCAAGGCATGTCTTCGTGGCGTCAGGATTGGAAACATTTGCAGAACGACAGCTCTGGCAAAAGTTGGCACAGAATGTGTTTGGGTCCGACTTCCTGCATTCCAGCAAAGCAGCTTCAGCAATCTTGGCGATAGCTGCAGCCGCCAAGACGCTGGCATAGCTTTGATCCCCCATGGTGAGGGAGTGGGCAATGACAATCCGTCAGGTCAAAGACAGCTGATTCATGGAAATTCACAGCCAGATGCGATGAAATTAACTTGTACACAACAATTTGGCTAGAAGATTGTAGATAGCTTTGCGCCATCAAAAAGCGAGCGCCGCAATCAAAAGGCAACTTATGATGAACATTCGCACATACCCCACCCCACCCCACCCATGGTGCTGGTGGGAATGATCATGGCTCGGGTGTCGTGAAATTTCACATCCGATCAGTTGGGCAGACCTGCTCGTGATGAAGTGGAGTCGACTTTCTTCACCATGCCAACACCGAACCCCAGAGCAAAAGAACAAGATCGTCGTTTTTTTGTAGTTGCAGTGTATGTTTTTTTGTTGGTTGAGACTTGGGAGCAGCATGCGTGCCGCCACAAAGTTTAATGGTAGATTTATATATATATATACAATTATACACATACTTATATATATACACATATATATATATATATAAAGGAATCCCGCCAGCATGTGGCATGTTGCCGTGCTTTTGGTTTGCAGCTGCGTGTTTTTAATCCAAAAAGAGTTCAGACAGGTCATTTGTTGTTTTGGAGCTTGATATACTTGCGACACGTTGAGACATCACGTCTCCATCAATCAGAGGGCAGCTCCGGGTAGCTCCGTGAAGCGCCTCGTGGCAGGTCTCTCGCCTCAGCCCGAAAAGCCTCCAAAAGCGCCGGTGGAAGCAGCGAGCGAATTCCGGGACGGCGAGTCCGGCGACCACCAGGCGACGCCGGCCGCGGCGGCGCAGCGAGTTGGAGGTGCAAAGGAAAGATTGGAGGTGGAAGCTGTTGAAGGGGCAGCAACATCCAGAAATATGAAACATGTTGTTTATATATATATGTATGTAATTACATATGAGAGAGACACACACAAAGAATTGTAAACACTACTTCTGACATACCTGCATGTTCTCATTTGTCACCATATGACAGGCTTTGGAAGTGGGAAAATGCCACCGCATACAGCCAAAATGGCTACAATAAAAAAAACGTGCATTTCAAATCGTTTTGGTGTTTTTTCCTGAAAGACGTGTAGTGCAGAGGAATTTCTGAATGCGCGATTGTTTTTTTATCATTTGAGGTTGCAGATATAGAGAGAGAGAGAGAGACACAAAGGGTTGTAAACGGGTCCAAGAGCCGCCAATCCCAATGTGTTGTTACTTGTTACGCTGCAAAGGTAATCCTCATGGTTTTGAGATGAATTTATGTTTTCGCCATCCAAAGACCAACCTACTTTGACATCCTACTTTGACTTTTTAAAACCAACCTCCTGTGGAAACCAAGACCAACCTCGACCGTATGCCCGCGACCGCAGGAAGGTGCGAGAGCCGACTTGGACGTTTTTGCGAAGAGTTTGGGCTGCCCAGAGTTGAGCAGCGTTTTTTTTATCAAGTGGAAAGGATTCATATGGAAGTGGCCAAGGGAGTTCCGGGGGGCTGCGTTCTGCGTATGCAGTTCTGCTTGAGGGGCATAGTTCATCGAAGGAAGGACCCTCTCCGTCCCTACCTCCCACTACCTGTTTTGAAGGGTCAGGGAGGATTACGGCTTTAGGAGGATTGAAACTTCACACACTGGAACACACTACTTTGTAGCGATTCAAATTTCTATTTGGATTGGGAAGGTTGAACAACTCAAGTATGTGCCTGGTGGCATTGGCATTGCAGTTCTTTGATGGGCTGGAACTGCAGACTGCCGCGAGAGCACTGTCATATGAGTCCTCCTACGCTGGCCTATTTGACCTGCACAACCGTGGTGTAGTGAGACAATACGTAGGCGATTCACCAAACAACACATCACTTGATGGCTTTGGCCTTTGTGTTGCATCCCAACGCCACATTAGCCCTGAGGTTGGCACCAAGGTGTAATGACAAAGGTGCAGTTTAAGGCAAAGCATGTTCACTTGCATATTTCAGCTCGAAACAAACCCATGGTCCCTTGCTTCCCCCCTTTGGCATTCTTGCCAGAACAAGCCTGAGTTTTCTTGTGTCAGTACGCAGGTCTTTCCACGCCTGAAAAACTGAAGCCTACATCTTATATAGGATAGGGATGGATAGGGTATGATGCGGTAGTATGTTGCATGATGCGGTTCTTGTATGGCATATTTGTACATCGTGGGGCGGCTCTGTATATCGATGGGTCCTCAGGGAAGAAAGTCAGCGAACGTTGCTTGCGCCTCTAAAGCATTGGCATTGGTAATTGCAAGATTATATATACACCTGGAACAAATCAAGCAGCCTTCAGAGAGCTATGCAATCAGCCAGCTCCTTTACATCAAACTGTTTACCTTTTCTCATGATACAAGAAAAAGCAAGACATGGAAACAATTTCGGATATGTCCTCCGTTGATGGCAGTGCATTTCTCATGCTTTTCTGAAAAGCGGCAGCCACACCAAGCAATTGGGCATCATTCATCATACACATGTTTGAAAATGGGCGTTTTGGAGGTTTGGCAACAGCAAGGATCTATGGAAAGAGCCTGCTGATGCCGCATTTCAAGTAACACCACCTTAAAAAGTGAGAGATGTCGGTGTTTTCATGGATTGCCACTGAACATATTGTACTGTAGCCTATGCCTATGTTTTGGAACAACATGTAGCCCACAGTTCTACTCTACCCCAGAAAACAAAGCAAGAACTCCAGCATATATTTAGGATGCGTGCATATTGGAAGGTCCCCCCCAGAATGGGAAGGCAATACATGAATTACACTATCAACATATTTATTGCGAATGGAAGTGCAGCAACACGTACAGTGCAACTTGTACATATATATGTACCATATGTACTTTGGCTCAAGGATCAAGCGACTAGAAAAGGTGCGGTTTCCGTTCCGACGCTACGCCGCTTATGGACCGTCAGTGATAGCTTCAAACTTCGCTGATTAAGATCCACTCGCAGGTTATCAGCCGTACGCGCTCTTTATAGCCGTACGAGCTACACGAGACCAAGAACAAGACTAGTCATTACAGAAACCTGCAATGTCAAGCTCAGGAGGAAATGGAAGCGAACCCTATTCATTCGCTGCTCCTGGTGGTCCCAACACCATTTCGTCACCAGACTCTACAATGGGTACTGATTAATCAGCAAATGCTGACGTTATCACCATGCCTACTGGATCACAAATCTCGGAAAGATCCGTGCCACCGGCTCGGAATCTGACCGATCTTGCACCCGTAGGACCAAGAAGATCGATGAGAGCTACAACAAGATCTACATCGCCTATAACGTCTACCGCGAGATCCCCAAGAAGGAGTATAGAGAAGAGACGTGACGATGATAGAGGAACAAAAGAGCAAAGAAGAGAGATTCAGCTGGGTGAAGAATTGAGATCGGCGAGAAACGCATACAATTTGCTTCATGAAGAATATGAATGCGTCCAAGCCGGATACTCACGACTACACCACGAGGCTGAAGTGGAGTTCAGGCAAATGTCTGACTACAACAGGAAGATGCAGGAACATCTACAAGAGATGACACAGGAAGATGAAGGAGCGACAATAAGAATTGAAGAGCTCGAACACAAGCTACGCTTGGCGGAATCGACAGCTGAACATATCTACATGAGATATCAAGAGCTTGCACAAGAAACTCATCAAGAACATTCAGAGCTTGAATCTGTGAAAGCAACGAAGGACAGAATGTCCCAAGAGCTTCAAGCAGCAATTGGACACATCCAAGAACAGAATGAATCTTCATTGGCGATCAATAGAAGATCAAAAGCCATTCAGGATGAGAACACAGCCTTCGTCGGAATAGCTGACCAGATACAAGCTAGAATGATTGCGCTACAGGATGAGAATGTCAACATGCACGAGGTGATCCAACACCAGAGAGAAGAACAATGGAACAGTGAGGTCAGGGAAAGACGTCTTCAACACAGTGTTCACTCATCTCAAGATCAGAGCAATCAGGAAGCTATGGTTATTGATCATCTACGAGGTCAACTAGCTATGGCACGTGGAGCTGAACTCAACGCGAGAGCGGAGATAGGAGAGATGGAAGTGGGCATGAGGATGGAGATGTTTGTATGCCAGACTGAAGTCTCTGCTAAAGAAATGGCAGAAATGAAGGCGAGCCACCATGAATACGAAGCAAACGTCGCAAAGGAGGTTATTGCAAAAGGAGAAATATTCAACAACGAAGTCCTAGAAGGTTCCATCCGTGAACGACAACAGTTGAAAGACGCCAACCTCGCTCTATCCGAAGCCAAAGCACAGCTGAAAAGAGAGAATATGATGAGAGCTCCTATGTTCGGCGATGATGGTGCTGAAATTCAACAGAAGATCAGAGAACTGGAGAATGCACTATTGGAAAGCCAGAAGGAGACAAAGAATGTCATTATGGAAAATGCGAAATTAAAAGCAGAAGCACGAATGGCACCCATAGTCTCTCGGTACAGCAAGCGTCCTAGTTCCAGAGACCGCGGGTTACCAACCCACGCGTCCGAGGAAGATGAGATTCGGAACGCAAAAGAGGAGGCGAAACACTACAAGGACGGGTACAATGAAATGACAGAGAGCCGAGATGAGATGTATGAATGGTATGCCGAAACCCACAATGAGTACGCCGAGGAAAGGGAGAAATCAATTGAGCTATCCGAGGCGAACAAATCATTGAGAGACAAGATTTCAGAAGCAGAAGCATCCTCTTCATCTCATCTTGCACCGGCAACCTCTACAATCATGAAAGTATCGAGGAAGGAAGAATCAAAGATAAACGTTCCGTCATGGCCCAGGATCAATGATCTTGGACTATGGAAGGCAAATCTCATTCAATCGATCATCATTGCGGCCAATGATTCAGATCAAGAGCCCTGGATCGACTGGATCAAAGAAGCCATGGACGATCCTGATCCGGACAAGTTTGTCGACTCAGGAGACCAAAGATTCCATTCAATCGATGCCAAACTCGGCCTAGCTCTTACCAAGGTCGTCATGGATGCGAAAGATGATGGTTCAGGTGTAGCTATGAAGTTGAGGACGGATCAATGCAAAAGGGAGAACATCAAGCCTCATAAAGGGAAGAGAGGTCCTAGCCCTGATCCTTATGAATTTCAAGACAACATCAAATGTGGAAGTCTTATATACTTCAATGCACCTCTACCAACTAGAATATCAAGGAGACAAGAACTTATCGTTGTTCTTCCACACTTGGGATGAGATTCTGGCAGGAATGAAGCCCGTTGACGTCCCGAGCGACGAAACTCTTCGGGATCTCCTATGGAGAAAGATCAGGAACTCAAACCTCATGGCATACGACATCAGCGCCTACAACAGCATGAACGACGATGATGCCAAGAAGACATACAAACATCTACGTGATATGATCAGAAGGCACATCGAACGGCAAACTGAAGACAGGATGATCCTGGAAAAGGAGAAGGCAGTGAAGAATGTGGCCAATATCTTTCAGAATCTCAAACCAGGCGGACCTGCTCCAAAACTGAAAGCTGCACCAGCTGATCCGAAGAAGAAACCAAAAGGGCAACAAGAACAGGTTGTCTCAGAAGACGCTGCTGCAGTGAAGCCGAAACCCAATCCCAAGAAGCATCCTGAAGACAAGAACAAAAAGGGAAAGGGGAAAGGTAAAGGTGATGGAAAGGATCGCAGCCGAAGTCCGAGTACAGACAAGAAGAAGATACCATGCAAATACTTCGTGAAAGGTAACTGCACTATGGGGAAAGATTGCCCATTCAGTCACAAGAAACCCAGATCACCATCCAGAGGATCTTCTGTCGGAAAGAATGACAAGCCAGTATGTTGGATGTGGATTCGAGGAACTTGTGACAAAGGGAAGGATTGCAAGTTCTACCATGACCCAAAAGCCTCTCCTAAGAAAGGGATATCTGCACCAGCTGACTCAGGAGACGATAGGCCAAAGCCCAAGGCAAAACCCAAACCGAAGCCTAAGGCGAAGCCTGGAGCCCCAGCCATTGACGGTGAACTCTTCATGGACGAATCCGAAGATGAAGGGATTGCTGCATCCGCCAAGGCAAGAGAAGGAGGTGCAAAAGTATCCTTTGATGAAGAGACTTGTGAGATCATGTTGAACGAAGCGATCTACTCAGTCAGGGACAAATGGAAGGTAGTAGAAAAGAAACCTCTACGTCCGGACATCAAACGATACGATGAGAAAGAGCTCACCTGCTACACGAGGAAAGAACAAATCAGATTTGAAGAAAAGGTCGCAGAGGCGAGAGGCATATTGATGGTCCCCTACACTGAGATCAAGAGGGTCCGAATACCAGTTGGACCAAAGGGTGACCTATCGGTCACTATGTCTTTTGACGAAGATGACGGCCTAGTTTTCCATCATAAAGTCATTCCTCATGTATGCGAGGGAAAGAAAGATCA